TGTAGAAAACGAAGCGTTTGAGAGAGGCGGGGCATAGAGGACCTACAATAATGTACAGTATTTGAAAAATAATGTGTCTTTTGAACATTAAAGCATGTCAACATATTCTGTTACACCAAATACACAAAATAATGCAATAACACAAAAAAGCATCATATGACCCCTTTAAAATTGTAGTTTTTCACTAAGCACGCATAAACGTTTTCTCAAAAACACAACCACATACATACATGCTGCTCACATATTGTAGCACAGTTTGTGCTGATTACAGTTTTATTAAACTTTAGACATTCAAATGTTTGTAAGCAACTGAAAAAAGCACAAATATATTTCCCCATGAGGTAGCTTTAATGTGGTTCACTATGTTTTGTCAGTATCTTGTAGTTTAGTTCTACTATTTCAAAAGAGTGGCTTGTCTGTCATTGAACTGCTTTGAAACTATCCTGTCAAGCTGCTCATAATTCTGACACCTTCACCAGCATTGACTAAAACTGTTGGCATTAATGCAGAATCACGCAGCTGTGTTGCTGTCAGAGTGCTGAGAGCGTTTGTGTTTGTTTGTTCTGTCTGTGATTGACAGCTGGATGGTAATGGAGACGGGGAGCCAGGTGTGCTCATGACAGCTCAAACCATCACCTCCGAATCGCTCTGCACCACCACCACCACACACATCACGAAGGTAACACACGCTCTCTCACTCACACACACACACACACACACACACACACACACTCTCTCACACTCTCATCACATTAACGGTACAGACAGCAGCAGGTTTATTAGGCTGCTGTCACTTTAAGACCGAATGCACTGATCTAGTATATTCACACACATCACTTAAGACAGAGACAACTGTGTTTATGTAAACTTTGTGTTTTTGACAGTTTAAGTGCAATATTACACAAAAGAAAACTCACGTGCTGTTGTGCTTTCTTTGCATGTCAGGACAGAGTGTGAGTAAAATTGTTTGAAAGTTTAAACTGGCAAAGCTTTAAAACATGCAATAATAAACTTTTGCTATAACGCAAGTCAGCCAGTCTCTCAGTAAAGACTTTTTAATCATTCATAATCTAATATCATCATGTTACCCTACGTACAGTCTAACCTAAAATATGTCTGATTTCTTGACATTTTTCTTAGCGTTTATTCAGTATCTCACTGGGTTCATATTGTACAGTCTGACGAGCAAAAGTCGTTAAGTTGAGAAAGTCGCAGTGTGCAGCTGTGATTGTAGTGTGGAGGAGCTCATGATCCTCAGCTCCACAGACGCAGGACGACAGGTGCTTGTTTTAACCGTGAGGTATTTCTGTCTGTCTGTGTCGTATGACGCACATATGCACACAGCTTCTGATAGGTCGGGAACATGCACACAGGTTACCATAGCGATGTGACATTTGCCATCCTCATACAGTCATGGCCAAAAGTTTTGGCAGTGACATACATTTTGTGTTTTGCAAAGTTTGCTGCTTCAGTATTTGTAGATTATTTTTCCACATGTGTCTATGGTGTACTGAAAAACAATGATAAGCATATCATAAGTTTTAAATGCTTTTATTGGCATAAAAGTATAATGAGTCAATATTTACAGTGTTGACCCTTGTTCTTCGAAACTTCTGCAATTCGCTCTGGCATGCTGGATATTAGCTTCTGGGCTGAATCCTGTCTGATGGTGATCCATTCTTGCCTTATTAGTTCTCGGAGTTGATCACAATTTGTGGGCTTCTGCTTGTCCACTCACCTTGTGAGGACTGACCACAGGTTCTCTGTGGGATTGAGATCCGGGGAGTTGCCGGGCCACGGATGCAACATTTTAATGTAATGATCTTCGAGCCACTTCTTTATCACTCTTGCTTTGTGACATGGTGCTCCATCATGCTGGAAAATGCACAGATCATCACCAAATTGCTCATGGATTGTTGGAAGAAGTTGCTCTTGCAGGACGTTTTGATACCATTCTTTATTCATGGCAGTGTTTTTGGGCAGAATTATGAAAGAGCCCACTCGCTTGGTTGAAAAGCAACCCCACACATGGATGGTCTCAAGATGCTTCACTGTTGGCACAACACAGGACTCATGGTAGCGTTCACCTTTTCTTCTCCGAACAATCGATTCTCCAGATGTCCCAAACTGTTGGAAGGGAGCTTCATCAGAGGAAATAACTTTGCACCAGTCTTCTGCTGTCCAATCCTTGTACTTCCTGCAGAATTTCAGTCTGTCCTTGAGATTTTTCTTGGAGAGAAGTGGCTTCTTTACTGCCCTTCTTGACACCAGGCCGTTGTCCAAAAGTCTTGGCCTCACTGTGCGCTTCTTCCCTCCTTTTATAGCAATCAGTCAGCTCTTACAATCTAATTAGTATGATGGTGATTAACCTGACTAGTGCTCATTCACACTTTCACATGTGCTGCTGATATGGTTAGTCGGTTAATGTTAGCTGGTCATTTTGTGTCAGGATCAAAACAGTGAAATTTGTTTTTGTGAAAAGTTCATTTTTTGGCCAATGAAGCTTTTAGCAATTATTTAAAGTGCATCTGATCACTCTACACAATAATCTAGAAACCATTTGAATGAACACCACAACAGCTTAAGCAGCAAACTTTGCAAAACACAAAATTTATGTCAGTGCCAAAACTTTTGGCCATGACTGTAGACTGAGAGACGTTCACGCAGGTCCCAGCATCAGGCGTTCACGTGCATGTATGTTTCCCATCATCTGTGTTGTGTTTTCATTCTTGTGTTGGGTTGTTCATTTTTTCCTTTAAATCTTTTGTTTGCTTTTGTTTGTTTGTGTTGGTTTACTGTGGGCGGGGTCAGGCGTTGGCCCAGGCTATAAAGGAGGCCAAAGAGCAGCACCCTGACATGTCCGTCACTCGCGTGGTGGTCCACAAAGAGACGGAGCTCGCCGAGGACGAGGACTGAAGGACAGGTAAGCACATGGCAACAAGCACCACTCTTGACAACCGGCTCCTCCTGCTCCAACCTGGCAGCTCCTCCTCCTCCTCGACCCGGAGCCTGTCGTTTCTCCCTTTTTGTTTGTTCTTTTTCTTGTATTCATCTCTCCTTTTGTGTTTGTTTCTTTCTTTTCCTCTGTCCTGGGTCTGCTCTGTGTGCTTCTCATGGTAACACTCATTTGTGCTGAACTGGTTCTGACTCTTATTTTAGAGGATCCTCATACACCTTTGAATTAAATTTATGATCTCTACATGAAAAATCAAGTAGTAGTATTATTTGATAATGTTGAGTCCCTGACTTGCATCATCCTTGAAATAGAAAACACTTAGTACTGTAGTGAATGTTTTTTTGCTAATCACTGCTACCTAATAAAATAATTAATTAGAATTAGAAAAATATTAGTATTTATTATAAATATAGCTGCAAGTGACAATTAAGGAAGCAAGCACAACAGAGGCAAGATGAGGAGCTAAGCAAGCATGGCTAGGAACATTAGACCAACTGCAAAAATGAGTAATCAAAGACGTTTATAGATGAATCAAGGCAAAAAAGTCATAAATCCAATCAATTGTTATATGAATTAATTGCTTATTATGTTTGACCAATAGGTGGCGCTGTTGTCAAATTGGTGTTGTGTGGTCAGTGTGAGGTGACAATGACACACAGGTTTTTGTCAATATGTCGATGCTTTGCAGAGATACAGCCTCAGAATCATGTTTTCATCATGCCATCAGAATTGTTGATTGGTGAAATGATAGCAGTTTGGATTTTCAAAACAAAATACATAAATGCTTTTTGCCGCCATGGTCTGAAGATGATCTGAGCCAAATTTGGTGAAAAACCGGACAAACAGACTGTTTGTTTGTTGTTGTCCGAGGAGGAGTTAAAAAAAGTTGGTTTTCAGCATAAATCAAAATGGCGGACAGGAAGTTTGGCCGATTATGGGATAATTGGTATTGATGTTCTCAGCATGATCCAAGGAATCTGCCAAGACCAGTGGCATTTATAATAGGCAAAACTAATCAAAAGCTATTAGCATTTTTAAAAAATTCATTATAATTTTGGCCTGAAACTTTTTGAGTACCTTCAGGGCGTGGTGGCAATGACACATACCGAGTTTTGTAATGACACACCAATACATTTGTAAAATATAGCATTTTATGACACCGTTTAAAATGGCTGACATGGGAAAATTGGGTATGGTTCAGCTTTGTATGTCGCACCAAATCTAAAGAGACCAGTCTTGTGACTTTTGGCCAAACCGTTCAGAAGTTATGAGCAAAAATATTTTTCATATCTCCTGACCACTAGGTGGCACTGTGCTGAAACTGTGCAGGTACTCACAAGTCATGGTTATCATACACACCAAATACGCTAAAGCGTTGAAGAGAGAATTCCTCAAGTTCATTTCTGTGTGCTCTTTACTACTAAACTTGAATTCCATACATTTTTGGTCTGAAAATGATCTGATTTGATTTGTGTGAAAATCAGAGTAACAATCGAAGAGGTTTTTTTTTTTTTTTTTTTTTTAAATCAAAAATTGTTTTTAGCCTTTTGGTTCAAAAGTTATTAGCATAAATGTGAGTGCAGATTTGGACAGTTGGTGGTGCTAGAGGGTTTGAGTTGGAGACTCCAAATTTGCTGTGGTTAATGTTCAGACTGTCCTCTATCAGTGTGCCAAATTTCATAACTTTTTAATGACCTTATAATTATAGAATAATGAAAGCATCCTAGACTGAGAGTGCCTGATATCACTCTGTGTGCAGTGTAGGTGGCATCATTGATTTTAAGCCATCTAGTGTCCATCAGCAGTCGTTGTTCCAGGACCTCATAATGAACAGGTGCAGTGCTGAGAGGAAGTGCTGTAGTGCTCATATGAGCGCTGTCACGTCTCCAGCATGACCTTCACCCCCAGGAATCAATGAGCTCCACTGAGAGATTAAAGGTGCTTCTCAGCGCTGAGGACAGGTAGCTGCTGATGTGCTTCCCTCCGGATGTGTCAGCAGTGGGCGACTGTGCTGTTTCGGGATTAGAAATATCACAGCTCTGCCGCTGCTCACAGGCCAGAATATCTGCAGGAAATGTATTCAGATCTAGAGCACGGCTGACTGTACTCGATACCAGCCGAGGAGGGCGGCAGCAGGGCTCAGATGTTTCATTTCAACCTGTGAAAATCAGGCTGTGAGGGATGAAGATACAGAGTCATTTCTAGTGTTTCATCAGCTGAGCATTCAACAGCGATACAGTACATCATATTCAGTTTGACGGTATGAAGCTTCATCATGGTAAACCCATTCTGCACCTCTGCTGAACGTCCAAACATTCCTGCCATTTTTCAAACAGCAGCTAGTTTTGAGTGCAGGATCATCAGTTTTTTAAGATTAAAGTCTTTATGAGGTACTTGCACACTGTTTTTGTTCACTAGTCCAAAAAGAGGGGTGACAACTCAGTCTACCAGACAGCATGATTTGTGTCATGTGACCATATATATTTAAAAAGGTCTCATCAGGTAAAATAAGCGTGAGAAAATGTATCCAGCACCAAAATATCAAATGTATTATCAGTGGAAAAAAATCATGGAAATGATTTGGCTGAAGTGTTTATCAATTGTGCTTCGGGGTAAGATGTGCCAATGAAATATGAATATTTCAATAATGATCTGAATATTTCATCCTGGCTGCTTTATGAAAATTTAAATAATGTGCAGGAAAATAACACTAGGTCAGTGTATTAGCTAATAGTAGGGTTGTCAAGTGATTACAATTTTTAATCTGATTACATAATGTGCTGATAAGTTAATCTTATTAATCGCACATTAGTTTTGGCTGAGAAATTACTCTCCAAACGATCGTTTAAAGTCACTGCATCGAAGAAGACGTTACAAAAAAGTAGCTTTAAAAAATATTTTGACTCAACATTGCATAAATGAAAATATGATGAATGGGTATTATTTTTTTATTTAATAATAAATATTAAAATAAAACCTCCAGTACTTGGCAGCAAGTCACTGTCTTCATGAGTGAGTCATTGAATCATTCATTCAACTCATTTGTTAAAGTCCGTGTAAGGCACTATTAAATGTGTACTGAGTTCGTCACACCACAGAAAAATGTGTTATTAACCACCCAGCCAAATTTGAATGATTAAAAAAACGGCAAGTAAATTAAACGAGGTATCAAAATCTTGAAAAAATAAGCAGTATTGTCTGCTCTCAACACGCTGTCTGCGCTGAAACCACGGCCACTCGCGGGAAAACTGCCTGGCGTCTCTCGCTACTGTCAAATACCTCTACAACCTCTAGCAGCTTCATTTAAATAAGGAGACTGAGCTGTTTTGTAAATGATCGCAACCAGGTAATATGCATTTACGTGACGAAGGCAGAGCTAGCTAGCAAACTGTAGGCTGTAGTAACTATGGTAATGACAGTAACTCATGATTGAGTGGGCGAACCACTGATGCTAATGCGCTAAAGTTATTAAGACGTGTTCGACTGGAAGCGGCGCTGCACAGAACGATCGGTGTCTGACATCAAAGTACCGCGAGAGCGATTCGAAAGCATAAGGAGCGTCTGCTCTCTAGAGCTCTCGCGGTACTTTGATGTCAGACACCGATCGGTCTGCACAGCGCTGCTTCAAGTCGAGCGCACCTCTTATAGTGTTAGAGTAGAGGCCGTGCTCAGTGTCTCCAGTGTGTCATCGAGTCATGATTTCAGCACAGAACACAGAAATGGTGAAAAACTGTTCTAACTCCACAATTCAGTACTACATAGCTCACAGTCTTTGTAACATGTTTCAGCAATAAATTTCTAACATTTATCATGTGTTTAGAAACAATTCTCTGAATTGCCTTTACACTGACTTTAAAGGGGTCATATGATGCTGCTAAAAAGAACATTATTTTGTGTATTTGGTGTAATGAAATGTGTTTATGTGGTTTAAGGTAAAAAAAACACATTATTTTCCACATACTGTTCATTATTGTTTCTCCTCTATGCCCCGCCTTTCTGAAATGCGTCGATTTTTACTCGTGTCCTCTTTTGGAAGAACAAACAAAGTAGTTTCGCTTTTACAACGAAACACACAGAAAATGTTCATGCGTGAAAACTATTTTCGTTTGTGAAATTGAGCAAAACACAATACTTGACAATACTGTGTCTAAAATGTAACACAACATTGACTACATGATGGATTGATACTGATTTTACTCGATAGTTCAATAAATATGAAGTTAGTCATCCTGCATCATCAGTGTAAGATGACAGACAGGTCTGGATGGGGCACTGCTTTAATCATTTTGAAGTGTTATTATTATTTTTTTCATTATATAATTAATCATGCCAAATTACCACATTAAATTAACAGGCCTTGATAAATATATATATGTGAATTTTTAAATGTAATCTGTATTCCTTAACTTGACATGAGTGACAGTGTGATAGTGCCATGAATTCGTTTATACTGTAGAGCACATCTTTCTGTGGCTCAGGAGGTACTAGTCTCATCTGTTCTCTTAGCTTTAGTAAGAGTGGCACATCTTACCCCGCTCTCCTCGTGACTGTGAGTTTGATGTGTGAGGATGCTGTGGAGATATGGATAGTAACTGTGTTTGCTGTGGCTTCTTTCACAGAGCTGAAGTCCAGTGCGCTCCTCCACGGCTCAGAGTTCATCCCTTCATCCGGAGGAGAGAAGAGCAGCTCTGATCCTGTACAGAAAAACATCTTCATCTTCTGTCTTTCACAACCAGAACCACTTAGCTAACATTTGTAGCATTTTATTTTTTTAGTCTTCGTTTTATCTCTTTCCCTCAAAAGATCATCTTTACCATTTCTGAAGACCAGATTGATGTTATTTTTATTGTTAATTAGTCATTCACATTCCTAGTTCATGAGGAGGAGTAATGGATCACGTTGTGATGGAGTCCTTTGTAATAATAATAATAGGAGGAGCATGTGAGCATATGAAGGCGATGTTGAGGGGTGTGGTTATGATGGGGCGGAGCTAAAGATGGGTGGGCTTTCCTGATGTCACGGTGTGTTTGTAAGGGACCAGCACAGGACAGTGGCACTGTGTGATTTTCATTGGTGGACGGCAATCATTCTTCTATGCAGTCAAAACCTCAAACATTCCACCGAGGAGAGGATGAGCGGCGTTACCTCTCTCAGCAACAAGACGAAATGCAAAAAACTCCATTCAACATGAAACCTAGGCAGCTCTTTGGGAACTTTTTCATTTTCTGGCACCAATATTCAGATATATATTTGAAGAAACCTGTTTTTCTTTGTTTTAAATCTGATGATTTTGGAGGAGGTCGCTCTGTTTGCCCTTTTAAATCTTTTTAATCTGTTTGAGATACTTGTGATTAAATGAACAAATGAGATTGAACTGCCAGTGCTGATGTTTTTAGCGGTCGAGCGAGGCCCGTGCTCCCTGCTCTCTCTCTCTCTCTCTCTCTCTCTCTCTCTCCCCCTCTTTCTC